ATTTGCCCGTACTTTGGCGTCACAGAGAAGGGCAGCCAAATGTTATACAAAGTGTTCTCTGAAGAGCTATGAAACTGGAGGGCTTATCTGGTGGCTGCCCTTCGCCCAGGATGACCAGGTGACATTAGAGATCACCCTCGCTCCTGTGAAGGCTGATGAAAGGAAGTCTCTGCCAAATTTGTGCACTGCCCAAGGCTGAGAGCACATTCCAAGGCTCTGTTCTCGGGAAGAGACTCTCTGTCAAGGTTTTTTTTTTTCCTCAGGAGGAGTTGGATGTGGTGGTTGGTCAGGTGTGCTTTCTTTAGATTGCATTTAACTAGAGCTGGCTTCCTATTCTATCTTGTTTCCCAAGACACAAATTTAACATCGTTCTTTACAACTGTTAAAAAAACAGAAAGTCTTTGTTTATTTGTGTGTGTGTGTGTGCGTGCGTGTGTGTGTGTGTGTGTGTGTGTGTGTGTGTGAATGCTTGCATATTTGTGGTCTACTAGGCTGTCAGAAGTCAGTTTGCAGGAGTAGGTTATCTCCTACCACGTAGGTCCGGGGGCTAGAACTCAGGAGGTCAGCTTTGTTGGTGTGCAACTTCACACACTGAGCCATCTCAGAAGCTCTCGTCTTAGGCCTCCTAAGTGGTTAGCTCCTCTAAGGGGTGGGGACAGTGAAGAGGAAATTCAGAAAATAGAAGATATAGAGAAAAGGCGGATTCAAGTGACTTTCTTCATTTGCTCTCTTCCATACTCTATGCCTTGTTCCCTGCCTCACTGTTACCCTAGTGACTGTCTCTGTGTTTCTAGTTTTCTGTGTAGGGTGGTAAAGCAGTTTGTGGGACGCATTAAGGTTAGAGACCAAAGCGTCTGCAGCCATTTCAGACCAGTTTTTGTTTGGGGCATAAGCCAAACCATTTCAGTCCATTAATTCCTGAGATAGGGTCTTGCTATTTAGCTCAGACTGGACCTGAATTTTGAAGCCTCCTGTCTCAGCCTCCCTGGTGCTGAGATTACAGGAATGAGCCAAGTGCCTGCCAAATTGCTTTTATTTTAAAGCAGATAACCTGAGCCTTAGATCCGCACATTGGTAGGATGGATATGAGACTTCAAAAGCTAATCTCTTTTCTTCCATTGCCTCTAACTAGGCTCCAGTGACCTTTTAAAGGCCTAAAGAGAAAGCCACTCATAACTGGGCTTGACCATGCATTCCAGTCGCTAACCAGTCTTAACCCCGGGTGCATGTTTGTCATTGAATGTGAGTTCCCCACACTGCCCTTTGCACAAAGTATTTCAGTAAAAAAGAGACTAGAGGGGAGTGTCTGCCCATTCCTGTCGCAGCATCTGCTACATTTCGGTCCCCACCTCCAGCTTTCCTGCAAGCCACAAACTCGATTCATGGATTCCTGGTCAGCTCTCGCCCATGCACTTGGACAGATGCTGCGTGGCACACAGTCTCTGTCCATTGGGTTGGTGCATGACTGCACCTTTTCGCAGCATGCCCTGTCTAAGTGTGTACTCAGGAGACATCTGTTCTCAAAGATGTTAGTTTAAGTTTTCCGGAGAACAGACTATGCCATTGCAGGTCTCCAGAAGTCGTAGACAGGTGCTGGGTGTCTTGTGTCGACAGGAAACGAGAGCCTGTACAGCTGAGAATAAACAGCAGCCACTTGGTAACATGAGATCCATTCATTTAAACTTGGAGGCCTAGATGTAGGGTTGGAGGTTGGGGGTTGGGACATTCCGGACACCACCTGTCTGCAGTATATCCCCCCCCCCCCACACACACGAGGTCAGTTTCCCAGAGAACTGAGGTGGTATTTAGGAGAGAAAGAGAGAGAGAGAGAGAGAGAGAGAGAGAGAGAAGAAATGCGGGGAGGGGTGGATGGAAGTCTGAAAAGGAGTTGTGGGTATTTTTTTGGCTATGACAACCTCCATCAGCTGCTTTGGGAAACTGACCTCCCTCCAGATTTGTGCTTCTTTTTCGCCTATTTGTAAAAACAGCTGTTGGAACCGAACAGTTACAGTCTGGAACGACCAGGGCACGGCTTTCTTGAGTCGGTGCCCATTAGATGATTTTGCTGGCCTCTACATTGGTTTCTGAAGGCCTGATTCTGGCCTTGTTATATTAGTCATTGTCATTCATGGGAGTCCTTGAATAAGTTTCTGCAGCCCGCTCCACAGTAATGATTGCAAGAAGAGGGTAGTAACTTCTTGTTACGTTAGTCCTAAGGTCACTAGAAAGACGCAATGTGATGTATGAGGACGTTTTTTTGCAAAGTCTAAAGGTCACATACAAATGAAAAGCATATTGGAAAGATTCAAAGGAAGAAATAATTGGCTCTTTCTTGGGGACCTTGGGGGTACAACTGCTGACAGTTGCAACTATCTGTGTTCCGAAGTAAACAAAGACAGTTGCAGAGTCTGAGGGTGTGGGGTCTGGATTTCTTTTTGTTAGTTTTGTTTTGTTCTGTGATAAAGTCCTTCTAGCTCAGGATAACCTCAGACTTGCTGTGTAAGTGAGAATGAACTTGAACTCCTAATTTTGATTGGGGGTTTGATGGGTGAGGAGGACAAGGAACGAAGAGGCTGCAAGTGGAAGGGAGTGGCCGACAAGGCCAGGGACAAAGGATGCTTTGGGTATCTGCTTCTTTGCAAGTGAGAACATTTAAGCTTTGGCCTGGCAGAGGTTTTCCCTCAGGTCAGGTGAAATGTAAGCAATCCTTCTTAACCACTGCTGTGCCCAAAGCTTGCTTGAAACCTCAGAGGATTTTAGGTCTAGACTCTCTTGTGAGATGCCTGACTGAGGTGCATGGGAGGAAGAAGTTGGAGGCTCTTCTTCATTTTGAGAGCAATGCATTAAGATTCAGAAGGCTTATGACAGTGTGTGTGTGTGTGTGTGTGTGTGTGTGTGTGTGTGTGGTATTGTGGTGTACCCTTTCTTTCTTCAAATTATCTGTCAAATTTTTGGGGGCTCCAAATGAATGGCAGTGTCCTGCTTCCCTTAAGCACAGAGACTGCTCCTGTATATCAACAGTCCATCTAAAAAATATATGTTTTTCTTTGGGTTCACCTTATTACTTAGCTTCTCTAAGATCATGAACTATAGGCTCAATGTCCTTTGTTTATGGTTAGAATCCACTAATGAGTGAGTACATACCATAGTCATAATTTTGGGTCTGGGTTTGGATGCATACCTTGCTCAGCCTGGATGTAGTGGGAAGGACCTTGGACTTCCCACAAGGACAGGGTGTCTTGACCTCTCTTAGGACTGGGGGAGTGGGAGGGAAGTAGGAGGAGGGGAGGAAGTGGGAAATTTGATTGGTATTATTTTTAATGTAATTTAAAAAATAAATAAAAAACAGTCCATCTAACAGGCAGGTTCTCTGAACTGGGAAGCTGTCAATCCTCTACAAAGTGGTCCTCCATGGAGGAGATCCAAGACAGCGAACAGACTATGTAGAGCGTTGGTTGAGTCCAAAGAGTCCCAGCCTAGGCTCCTGCTCTTAGCCGGAAGAGCTTTCTTGCTCTTTGCCAGGTCTGACACCTGATGGAAAGGGGTGTCTCCTTTCTCCACTGTGAGCAGGAGTTAAAATAGAGGGATACCAAATCATGCCTGTGCAAGCCAGCAGCCGGATACGAAGGTCAGAAGAGTGGTCAGAAGTGTGGACCCGGGCCCTGGCTAGTCAGCCAGATGCACTTCCTCTTTTTCTCAGCCTCCAGGACATTGTGTAATGTCAGGATGTCTCAAGCTCCCCGCATGTGCCATTGCAGGACATGGCGGTCTGATAACATGTCCAGCTGTTGCCTCAGATGTCTTACTCATCTGTAGGGATATACTCTATTTTGCAGTGAATTCTTATGACCTTTAGGGATATGATTTTTATCCCCCCCCCCCACCAAGGGAAACTGGACTGACAAATGGCAGCGAAGAGAACAGGTCAGATTGTACACCTTGTAGTGGGGTCTTTGTTGTTCCTTTTGGTCTGCCACTGAAGAGGCAAATTCCTTGCCTGGACCCCAGCAGATTGGGCTCAGTCCCACCAAGAATGTCCTTCCCAGAGCAGATCACTTCTACCTCCCACCTCTTAGGGTACACATGCCTTTGGGGAACCGGGTGTAAAACACTGATCCACAAGAGGAATTATTCCATATTTCTGAGTTCAGAGTCCCAGGACCACAGTAGACTTTGTGAGTCAGACCATGCCCCCAGCAGGCTGAAGCAGCATCAGAAAGTCTCAGAATGTTGACTCTGGGGTTTCTGCGAGGCTGCTGTCTAACTTCGCTCACTCTCCTCTCCTTAGAATGAGGGTATGGTGGCAGGGTCACACACCATGTACAGGGGCAGACTCTTTTGCTTACTGGTCCCGTGTGTCCTGTGTCTTTCCATTCAGTCGGTCTGTCTCTCCTTTGTGTCACGTCTAGTGTCCTTGGTTCATTCTACAGAACTGTCTTTTCCTCCCAGCTTGCCATTTTGGAAGCAGCCTCCAGGAACCTTCTTCCTTTGTCCTGACTATACCCAGTGTTCCCGGTCAGCACTCCTAACGACTCAAAGAATACACTTTTCTTAGGAGAAGAGAGAGAGAGATTCCTCTGAAAAGTCCCTTAGTTTTCCCTCAACTCTGTATCTTGGGTGGTCTGAGAGTGTGGGCTGAAACCATTGATTCTCCTCCCCCTCTCCCCGCGGGGGTGTGGGGGGAAAGCGGGAGTTTGCTAACCAGAACTGCTCGGCCAATCGTTGCCCTGAGAAAGTTTGGATTGTGCTCTTATTTCATTAGGCTGATTGGAGCAGCCTTGACTCGGAGGTACAGTCCCTCCCCAAGGGATTCCGTGTACAGTTACACGGCTGTCGCTGCCTGTGCGTGCGCTGCCTGTGCGTGCGTGTCCTTTCAGGATAGCAACCCACTCCCGCCTCAATCCCCAGCTCCACCTCCTCCACCTTTTTTGCTTTTATCTAGTGTCTCCCTTGCTCTTTCTCTCTCTTTTCCCTTTCCCCTCCCACCACTGCCTCTTCTTCCAGCCCTCCACGCTCCTGCAGCGCCAAGCCGGCTCCCCAGCGCAGTCGGCTGAACGCAAACCACTGAGAGTTTGCTGCGCAACCCCTTGGGGCCTGGGGCTGCCGAGTCCCGCTAAGGCAGAGAAGCCGGCAGAGCGAGCAAGCGCAGCGGAAGACAAACACGCGGGCGCGCGAGGGAAGCCCCAGGAGGGCAGCCGGGTGGCGAGGCTTGACAGGCGACAGTCACTACGTCCGGGGTCGCCTCTCCCGCGGCGGACTGCGTGAGGAAACGCGCTCCGAAAAGTTCTAGACCGCAGGAGGCGGCGTCCCCACCAGTCCCCTCCTTGCGGCGCTCCAGGAAAAGGAACTTGATCTACTGGCAGGCTCCAGCTGCTCGCTGAACGTGAGAGCGGATAGTGCCACCGGCCCCGGGGTGGGGAGCCGCGAGTGGGAGCCGCGAGCCAGGCTTCAGGTGGAGGGCACTGGGCAGCGGCCAGGGACCCCGATGCCGGCGGCTAACATGATGGAGAACCTGCAGCTGCCCGCTCTGCAGGTGCCCGAGCCGCAGGGCGCGCCCGAGGGCAGTGCGGTGTGGTCCAGTTCGTCCACCCCCACGCTCCGCCGCCGGCGCTTTAAGATGCGCCGAATGAAGAACGTGCAAGAGCAGAGCCTGGAAGGTGGACTGGTAACCCCAGATCTACCCGGCGTCCTGGCCCCGGGCAAGGAGTTCCTGCAGCTGCCGTCCATTGAGATTACGCCCTCCAGCGACGAGGACACCCCGTGGTCCAACTGCTCCACACCCAGCGCGTCCCCGCGCCGAAAGCGCTTCCTGCTCCGCAAGTGGCTGCGGGTGAGGGAGCGGAAGGAGTGCAGTGAGAGCAGGTAGGTCCCCGTTTCTCTCTAGCAGTCTTCCCCCTGCACCTCCCGCTCCTCCCCAGAGCCGTCCAGGGCCCCAGGGCATTCTGGTGGAAACTTCCGGGACCAAAGCTGGAGCTTCTCACGTCACCAAGGCTCAGGAGCTGCCAGGGCACCAGTGCTAGAGGTTTTGTCTCCATAGCTCAGGACTAGGGACTTGATAGGTTAACATAGATTCATGCTGCGTTTCATCTCATGATCCTCACAGCAAGAATGAACAGTAAAATAGCACTCGTATTTGTTGAGTCCTTACTGTGTGCAGACTGTTGTAGTGAGTGCTTCTCCCTGCCTCCAGATTCCATCCTCAGGGAAACTCTAAAGTAGAGAGTGAGATGATTCCACTGGGGTTGAGATGGCCAGGGCCAGCGAGAGAAGTTTAAGTGGCGCCTCCACGTGGAATTCCGAATTCCACTTCACTTTTTGTCATTTTTCCTACGTTAAGATGCTCATACAGGTCTAGATGCCTAGGCAGAAGTGAAGTGTTCGTCACATATCCTACCTGTCAGAGGCACATCTCTTGATCACCCTGCCAGCTCCAGTTTTGCTAGGTAGGTGTTTGCTGCCCACGTCCAAGAACTGGTATGAAGCTTGCACGGTACTTACACATCAAGCCTTGGTGGCATGGAGTCCCCACTACTCGTGGATCCCATGTCTCACCCCCCCCCCCATTTGCTTTGAGTCTCAGGGGCTCTGTTATCAGGATGTTTGTGCTGATGGGGGGGCATTGTTGTGGTCGATGGAGGTAACTAAGTTATGAATCACTTTAATGGGGATCATTTCATTCACCCCATTTGCTCAGCTTCATTCAGGTTCACTTAGGAAGCATTTATTGAGTGGCTCTCAAGAGCTCAAGTGTGGCACCAGCTAGTGGTGGTGATGCTGAGAAGGATTTCCAGGTTGTGAAGGGATGTGGAAGCTAAGCGTGATAGGATACTAATACAAAAAATATCTGCCTAACACAAAGGCGCACCCAGCATCTCCAAAATAAAATAAATGAATAAAACTGTGTGATACCTGAGTGCAATCCTAGACCTTAAGAAGTGGAAGCAGGAAGACTCCTGGAGTTTCAGATATGCGTTGGTCACCTGGAAAGGATGGCACCTCAAAAACCCAAACCTAAAGGAAACAAAACAAAAACAAACCAACGCACCATGTAACAAAAAGAAGTTGAGACGTGCAAATTTTGTTCACAATAAAGCGATGGGGCCATTGTCACCTGTAGTGGTTGTGCAAGAAAAGGGAAGCTTGGAGACATGGAATAAGCCCTGGGAGGGAGAGGTTAAAACCATGACAAGTGCAGACAGGATTAAAAAAACAAAAACAGCGAGATACATGTGAGGTCAGGTGCAAAGACGGACTAAGGGAGCAATATAGTAAGAATCGAAAGAAACTAGCGTGTGTGATGTGTCTTCGTGGTGTTGAGGGCTAGGGTTGGGTTACGCGGGAGATGACCCTTCTGAGTCTTGGGACTCCTCCCAATGATTTACCATGAAATCTCTCTCCTGTTTGCAGTGACTATACAGTTTCTCCCAGATATGGCTTTCGGGGCAACAGGTCTTTCTTTTCCAGCATTCCACCCTGTTGCTTTTTTTTTTTTTTTTTGCAGAGTAGAGGGAACTGAGGATTGATGGGGGTTAATCTCAAACTAGACCAGCTTGTCAGCTCAGGTACTTTTCCCTCAAATATGAGAGACCCGAATAGAGGCATTGACATCCTGCCACATCTACTGAAGACAAAATATAGAGGAGAGAGTCATTCATTGCTAGCTAACGTAGGCAGGGGGAACTGAGCAAATGGAAGGAAAATGTTTCTGATTTTGAGTTATTTAAGGGTATGGTAGAATATTATTTTTTATTGAAGTAGGAAGGATAATTTTAAAAATAGGAAGGTTATTTTACCTCCTAGGTATAGCTTAAGGCAGTTTTATTTTTTTTAATGTGCTGGCATATGGGGTTGGAAGAAAATGTATGTCTTCTCATCTTTTGGTATCCATGGAGGTTGGCTCCAGGTCTTTTTGTAGTCACCAAGTTCCTTGTAGAAAGTGTCATGGTATTTGCATATAACACATACATATTTTCCCATAGATATAACTTTTCACTGTGCACGTGTGTGTGCATGTGTGCATGTGCTATATGTATGCTTGTACATGTGGAGCTCAGAGGATAGCCTTCAGAAAATGATTTTTCTCCTCAACCGTGAGGATTCCAGGATTTGAACTTGGGTATCCAGGCTAGTGACAAGTGTCTTTGCCTGCTGGTCCATTCGGTGGCCTCTGTTTCTTCATACACTTTAAGTCATCCCTAGGTACCTTCTAATACAAAGCACAATGTAAATGTTATCTAAAGAATTGCTGTACTTCATTATTTGGAGATCAAGGCTGGGAAAGGAAGTCTGTTTCTGTATGTGCATGGAGGTGCATGTCAGTAACTCAAGCATTAGGGAGGCTGGAGCAGGATGGCTGGGAGTTCAAGGCCAGCCTGGACTATATAGTGAGGTCTAGTCTGAAACAAAGTCCACATATGTTCAGTATAGATAATTCTTTTCTGTATTCTTCTATCTGTAATTGGTTGGATCTGTAGATTCAGAACTGGGAGATACAGGCCAAATGCATAAGTCGAAAAAGGCAGAATGAGCTGGGGATGTAGGTCATCCTTGGCTATGTAGTAGATTTCAGACTAGCCTGGGTTCAATGATGCAAACAAACAAACGACAGCAAATCAGAACCAAAGTCAAAGCAGCACAGCATGGAATAGTGTCCATACGCAACCATCCTGTTTTCACTGCCCACTACCTGCCCCCTTGTGGTGACCCATAGGTGTTCACTGATGATAAATAAGTTCCTTTTTCCTCTTTCTGAAGTGAGAGTCTCCTTATTCACAAATCTGAGAAAATTTCAGTGGGGAGATGAGTCTAGAGATGAGTTTTTTAAAAACAAAATTATTGAAATATGATTTAGAAAAGCTGGGCTTGGTGGCACTCACTTTTATTCCCAGCACTCAGGAGGCAGAGGCAGGCAGATCTCTGTGAGTTCGAGGCCAGCCTGATTCACAGAGTGAATTCCAGGTCAGCTAGGGGCTGTTACTCGGAGAAATCCTGTCTCAATAAATAAAAAATAAATAAATATGATTTAGATGTCACACAATCAATCTTTTCAAATCCTAATGAATTTGAAGCTGAGAGTTTAACTCAGTAGTAGAGTGCTCTCAGTGCATGCACAGGACCCTGTGGAAAACAGTATTTGATATCGGGATGGAAAAAAGTATTTAATCCATTTTTTATATTGATAGATGTGTGTACACATCCGCACAGTTAATTTTAAAGCATCCTTTTGTCAACACACACACGCACAAAACACGCATCATATACACACAAACACACATACATACACAGCCATACCATTTAGCTAGCACCGTCAAGCCCCCAACCCCCCATCTGAATCACCGGCTTTAGATATCCACTAATTTCCTTTTTATAGACTGCCAAATTTTAGAAGACCAAATGTCTATTGAGGATGCAAATGGATGGCTATCTTACTGTTTTCTGTTATAACAAAATCCTTGAGACTAGATGATTTTATTTATTTATACATTCACTTATTTATTGATTGAGACAGGGTCTCATGCATACAAGCTTGACCTTGAACTAGTGATCTTCCTACCTCTATTCCTTAATGCTGAGATTACAAGTGTGTGTCATGCCTGGCTTTAGTTTCTTCATATACAAAGTGGAATTAACTCAGCGGGAGCCAGTGTAGGTTCTGAACAATGAATAACTCGGTGGGACAAGCTTGGTGGGACAAGTTCTTAGAGTCAGTGCTGTCCCAGACCAACAGCGACAATAAAATGTGAAGAAACGAATTAATGCCTGCATGTGTTCCCAAATCTCTTGGACAAAAATGGTTGTGGTAATTGTTTAAAGCCCAAACTGAGCATTAGCGTCTCCTATGGCCTCCTGAATTCTGGGAGAAAGTCAGAAGTCAGGCAAAGCCATGTGTCCTAGGATGCTTCTTAAGAGAGGAGAAGAAAAGCTGGCATGGGACGGGTGAGTTGGGCAGTGGGCAACTGAAGCCTGTTTTCCTGGAGGACACAGAAGAATTTCTTTGCTCTTCTCCCCTGCGCACCTCCTAGCTGTCACCTTTGCACCATCTCTCACTCCGCCAGCCTGCACCCCGCTTCTGTAGGACATCCCTACCCTGTAACAGTTGCTCACAGTCTAGCAGACTAGCTGCTAGAGAAAGCCCTCTTTGGCTCCATCTGACCTTTAGTAATGGTACCCACCAATTCTGCCCAGTCTGGTGTGTTAGACTATGTCTATGGTGCTAGGATAGCTGGTTGGTTGGTTGGTTGCAGGTATATGTCATCCATATGTTTGTCTTGATTCTCCATTGCGTCCTCTGGTCTTTGCAGGAAGATTTGCTTCAAACTTCAGGTAGTTGCAGGGAGCAGGGTGAGTTTGGGCATCCAGACTACTCTACTCGATCCAACTTTGCTTGGTTCTTATTTCTATAGTCAGCTATTCAGTACACACTGCTCTGTGTGGTAGAGAAAAAGAAACTCACGTCCCTCTTCCCACAAAGGAACAAAGCCGTGTAGAGGGGGCTGTAAACGGTTAGCATGCAGAGTTAAGCAGTCAGCACAGGCTAGGGTTAAGGAGCAAAGACTTCTACCAGTCCCATAATTCCTTGAGACGGGGAGTAAATCTTACTTTGTGGCAAGATGCCTGTTAACTGTCTTAAATTCATGATCACCGTTAATCCTCACAACAGTCACCTGAGGTAGGCTTCACGGGGGAAGAGCCGGCGGTAAAGATTAACTTGTTCCTGGTCTCCCAGGAGCAAGGCTAGAATGTGAACGGTGTATTCGTTCCAATCCCGGGTTCTCTATAGTCCTGGCCTGCCGACCTCACGTGCTTGAGAAGGTGTGGGTGTGGAGAAGTTGCATATGAGGCAAGATGGGAATTCTGGAGGC